CACCCGCCCCTGCAACATCCTGTCCCCTCCCCAAGCTATCTTCCAGAAACCAAGCTCTTCCTGTACAGATAAGTCACTCAGAAACTCTGATTGTGCCCTGTTTAGTCCTGATATCTGAGAAGCACAGTGACACTGCTGCTCTCTATCTTACACACCAGAGGGGTAAGGACAAGAAGTTTTACTTCCTTCACTCTCCATCATCCCCTGTCTATGCTGTTTTGCAAGTTGCAGATGCCCAGTACACTTTCAACCTGTTACTCACTTGGTACATGGAAACCAGCCTTTTTGACTTACGGAAATACACCACGTCATTTCTTTTGATGAAACATTTTTGCCAGGAAAGTGAAAGGATTGCTTTCTAACAAGTATGTGGATGTCAGTGGAAAGAAAGAAAATATCAATTCATATCAATTTAAGTTCTATGTATTGTGTGTGTTCTGATGTGCTAGTTACAAAGGTTTAGAGCCACTCATTGATTAAGTTCATCTCCCTTCTAATGTCTCACCAGTGAAGTCTTGAGTCAACAGATGCCTACATGAATCTTTGTGTGGACGAGTCTTTGTTTTGATCAGAACAGTTGCTTTGTATTGGTACCCACAGTTTATATAGCCTACAACACTCTTGTTTTATTTGCAGATTGTCATAAGCATAGGACTCATGTTTTATGTTGTTCATCGAGCTCAAGTGGAACTGAATGCAGCTATTGTAGCATGTGAAATGGAAATGAAGACATCGCTTGTTAAAGACAGTCAACCAAGCATTGGTGGTTCAACCACATACTGCAACAAAAGGACAGTAACATTCTCTGGAGGAGGGGTCAATATTGTGTGATTTCAAGTATTAATAAAGTAAGGTTTTATGAACCTAAGCTATTGCCTAGAAATATCTATGGACAATTCAACTAGCTCTAAAAAAAATTACAAGTGGTTACAGGTTGTACTGTGGCACAAACCAACTGACCAGCTCTTCAATTGCACATGGGGTGACTTCTAGCAAGAAAAGAAAGATGGTGAAGTAACTTAAGATGTAAATGCAAATTTAGCTGCACCTTTGGTCATTTATTATGCCTGTCATGGCCTGTAGTCTGCACTTTAGGTTTTTTTCTTTTGCTCCTATAAACTAAGAAATGCTTCTCTAAACTGAGAAAAGTAGCACAGAGGTAAATATTTTTCTGCTTAGTGTTATTTATAAGGCTGAATAATTATATGCAGTAGAATTTTATTACTGATAAAGATGAATGAGAAAGTATGCAATTCAATGTATGTTATTCTTGAATGTGCTTTTACTTTGGAATTGCTTCCAGAACTTGGAGTGTATTATTTAGCTGATGATGGGACCATTTGGCTTTTCCTTCATTTTTGATTTTTAAAAAAGAGAACCTTATATAAAGCTTTGGTTGAATGTATTTTTGTAAGTCATTAAAAATGTTGCAGAGCCATGCATAAGTATTCACACAAGCTTAAATCCTACATTGTGGGACTGAAGTGCTCTTAAATAACATTTTAAGTTACACTGTGTAATATGCAAAGTAAAAGGGAAAATACAGAAGTTATAATAGATTGCAGTGACTATTCAAAGGAGACTTCATGACTTAATTGTTGCATTGGTTTTACCACCTTGGTGATTGTAACAAAGGGCTGTTCCATGTTAGTCCTATTTATAATATTTTTAATTGTTAAAAGGATGGAGGTTTTCAGCTTACATGACTGTGTGTAATAAGGCTTCCAGAACAGGGAGCTGATTCTCTCCTTTAAACAAAATAATAGGATACTGGCGGTACTGATCTTACATGAAGGTGGCCTTTGTTTTGTAAGTGAATTCCCCCCTCCCTTTAAAAAGCTTTAAAAATTCACTTTGGTTGACATGTGTTTTTTTTTCTAAAAGTTTTACATTTTTTAGAAGATGCAATCTATTACAAATTTCATCAGAGTGAAGATATGAAAACTAGAGGTTCTCCTTAGAAAATAACTAATCCAGTAATGGAGGAGGACAGTAATGTCCCTGAGACTCAGGAATTCTGACTCCATTTTTGCAAGACAACACTGTATTGGATAGTGCTCCTTTTGCGTGTGCTGTGGACTGTTTTTCACTGCATTTGAATAGACCGAATGACCTGATAATAACTTGTGTGTGTGTAAAAGGAAAATGACAATAATGCCTGAACATGATGTCTTGTGGGTGTGAGTTTCATGTAGATATATGTACCAATGTTCAATTGCTCAAACACACGCAAGTCATCGGATACAAAAATAATGTAATGTATTGCTTATTTTGTAGTTATTTTGTCTAAGTTTTTAAGGATGCTTTCAGTCTTCAAAATTTTGTTATTTTCTAATAGTATGACTGTGCTTCCTTTTTATAAGGCTGTTTGCTGGGTTCAAGCATATTTGTGTTGTTGAGAACAGCAGTTCTTCAAGGTTGCTGGGAAGCAGAGATTTGATAGCCTCTAACAGTCTTACTGTGAGGATGTATAATACTCACATAACTTGACATCTACTCATTCCTTGGTAGTGGAAAGTTCAATTTTGTTCTTTAAATATGTATCTTTTGCAGACTGCTGTTCTTGGGTCTTGTGACCTAAGGAACTAAACTAGTTAAATGAAACAACAAAGTTCAGATTGTCGTCTTCTTGTTGTTTTGGGGTTTGGGGTTTTTGGTTGTGGTTTTTTTTTTTTGATTGGTTGGTTTGTTTTTGAAAAGGCAATCTGTATATACCTGGAAGTGTTCATTTACACATCTCTGCCTCTGACAGCTCCTGCGTGAAAACAAGAGAGCCAGATAACTTTTTGATGGCGTTATTTGTCATCATAGTATAATTGAGCCCTTTCTTAACTGAAGGTTTTTTATTTTTTTTGTTTCTTGGAAAGAACAATCCTTCAATAAATGAACTGATCTGAACTTTGGTCCATCTTGCCAAATCAACAATAGTGTTTTGAAGAAGGCATCTCTTTCTTCGCATTTTTAAACTAACTTAAGGTTGTGTTGATTATTTGAGAACATTTCCCAAATATGTATTTTGAAGTGCTTTTATTTCCATGACATTTTGTAACCAGAGTAACTTCACTATGTGAACACTTTTGTAGTATGGGATTAGTTCTTAAGACTTTTGCATTTTGCTTGATACTTGTAATATTTGTGTACAAGTTAATGGGAAATGTGCATTAAAAGGAACTTTTCTGTACCATGCCAATCATAATTTTATACAATAAATTCACTCAAATTTCTTTAAAGGAATATGTATTAAATGTTTAGGTTGCTGTGAAGTAGTTGGAAAGAAGGTGCAGTGGAGTGTTGTCTTTATGTACGTGTGCAAAGATAGTCGTCTACATTAAATGAGTAACAAGTTAGGATTTAAGGATTAATTCCGTGGGTGAGGAGTTGCTGACAAGAGAAAGACACTTGATTTTTACTTTTTTAATAAATTAAATACATGCCCAATTGTGTTAAATACTTTGAAGATTAGGTATTTGTAGCTGCCTTTTTGATAGAAGAATAAGCACATGTGCTCATGAGAAATGTGCTACTGAACCGAAAGAGGATTGATGTTTTTGCATGTAAAAGTAGAAGTCATGTGACAATTTTTTTTTTTAGATGTCTTCCTTCCCAATGAAATTAAAAAAGAAAAGGGTGTGAATCCAATTTAAATAATATGTGGCATGTCACCTTCAAGAACATTTTGAATTGCATGATCGTGAAATTCCTGTATTTTCTATATGAAACATACCTAAATTGCAGGTCATATAGAAGAAAGAATCTCTCCCAGCTGCATGGCACCAGTTTTCCTTTCTCCTTCTTGTGGTAAGTGCAACTGCGTAATAAATTTGTCAAAACGTAATACTATACTAAGCACCTGTGAGGAAAACTATTTTTTGTTCAAGAGCTTTATATACTCTTCATTCTGATTTTTGCACAGTAACTTCAACTGTTGCTGAGGTCAAATTTGAAGAATGGAAAAACTGTTCTTACATGGTGTGTGGGTAGTGTCACATAATCAGATCATTTGTGTGAATTTTCAGCTTTCCACCTGAGGCTGGTATGATTTGGGTTTTGACTGACCAGGATTACTGGAGGAGTCAGTGGCCTTGCACATAATCTAGGATATGATGCTTAAGATGAAATACTATAAATGTGTTCTCATAAGCTCTGTGGGCATTCTTAATGGTGGAAGCAAATAGCTAAGAGTAGCTGTGTGACAGGCTTCCTCACTCTAATAAATTCAAAGCTGGTACCAGTATTGTCTATGTAAGAAGATGGTTTGAACATGAGGGAATAGTAAATCAGGTGCACAGGGGAAACATGCAGATTCTGCCTCTGCTGAGGAGAACAGCTCATCCCTTTCCTCTCCAGTCCTGCAGAATTATAGTGATGTGCCTGGCAGCACAGGGATGATGAGTCTAACTCATCATGGACATTAGTGTTTCTCTCACACTATCCTGCTGTATTGATTTTTAATGTGTATGGTTAGTGGTAAGTAGTGAGAAATAACTGAGTCTGCAGTTTCAATCCTGTCCCTTTCCTTCGTCATTAGATTATTCTGTCATATTGCTAAACTTAAAACTATATTTTAATGAAGTCTTCTGTTCATTAATGTCAGTTATGTCCTCCTTGCTAGCCAGTAGTTGGTTTGATCTGAATTCTTGATTCATTTGGAAAATTAGAAATTTGAAGTGTGCTAAGTCCTCTACCTTCTAATTATTTAGGACTTTAGATACATTGTAAAAGAAATTAGAATATGTCTATTATACACAGTTTTTCTTTTGTTTTAGAAAAAAATGTTACTACAAAGATAGCAGAAGAAGGATTTGTTCTGTTCTGATCCTGACACTTGAGTACAGGGTGTCACCCTTCCTGGGAGATGAGAATGTTGCCAAGATGTAGTACACCTAAGCTTAGGTGTGTCAAAGTAATTAGGTGCCCACTTTGGTGAAGAGGATGTAAAATCTGTATCTTCATGTGAGGATGGCAAGTCTTTTTTTTTTTTTTTTTTTTTTTTTCTTAACCATATAATCTACAGACCAGCACAGTTTGGCATTGGTGGTTGCAATGATTTGCTTCTCACCTCCCTTGTCTGCAGGAGGGGGAATCTAGAGGGCTACAAGTCTTATGAGCTGAAGGGGAAGAAATAGTAGTCCAAGCACAGCAGACAGTTTGAGGAGGTTAAATTAACCACAACACTGCCAGAACTGTGAATACATTCAAGTGCATTGTTTTCTTAACAGCTTCCACCCCTTTCCATGGGAGGGCAGCTGGGTGGCCTCACATAGATGTAGGTCAGTGATTTCTCTTCTGGAGAACTTTAGCATGCTTTGAGTGTTGGACCTGGACCTCTTCACTTCCATTTAGAATGATTTAGTTTGTTCCAAGAACAGGGCAAGATCAGCTGGGGTGCAAGAATGTTTGTACCAAGTGTTGTTCATGCATTTGCACCTGGCCCAAGAAGGAACTCCTGTAGGGCAATGTGCATGAACTCAAATTTGCTGAACGTGAGGTATTTCCCTCTGTTCCCAGTGAGCTTTAGCTGTTTCCCTTAAAGGTTGTGGGTGGGAGGAAGGAAGGAAAGGCCTGTGGTTATAGACTATTCTAATAGCAAATTTTCACTCTCTGCCTTAGAAGCTTGATTGCTTAAGATCACAAATACTCTCCATTTAATGTGAGAAATGGTAGGTGGTGATGGAATAGACTAATGAATTCTCTGACTGTGATTTTTGTGAGGGAGTAACGATTTGCTTCAGTTCGCGATGAAGCACCCAGATGGTAGAGGGCTGGGTTTTTTTGTTGGATTTTTGGTGGTGGGGGTTGGGGGTGGTGCTACTGGAAGCAAATAATGCTGAAATGGCAACGATATGAAGTTACTGCTGATTCTTTTGAACTTTTGACTTATTATGACTGTCAGTTGTCTTTTACAGCTGTGGGGAATAGTGTCTCAGAAGCAGCTGGAGTAAGATCTCCAAGTAGGAGCATCTCAGCTTCCGGAGGGCTGCTGAATGCATGCCTCTGCCTCTGGGGCCTGCTTTTATAACCTGGGCTAGCGAAGTTCAAATCAGAAGCAGTGAATAGTTCTCATCAGAGAAGGAACATTTGTTGCTGCCCTTTTGATATCTTATGCAGCAGAAGTATTATGTTGGATGGCATGCCTGCCTTGTTCAGGTGGCTGGGTGAGGAGGAGTTGGGCGTTTGCCATTTGCACCAGCCGAGGAGGCAAGGGTTGAATATCTTATATATTCTCTGGCAGATGTAAATTGAGGTAGAAGATGATGTTCTGTGTTCAGCCAGCTGTAGTAATCTTTTCCACACAGTGACTCCTGTGCTGAATTAAATTCTCCTGCCATTAAGCTTGCTAGGGTGCAGGACTGTGGTAGCCGTGAAAGGATTTGTCCTTGCAGCTTGCACTGTATCAGATTACTGATTTCCAGTTATGATGTTGCACTGAATTTTAGGATTTCACAACTGTGGGAACTACCTGCATGTGCATGTGTAGTGCCAATGTCGCATGGATTGGTGCTTTACAGGCATTTCTGTGTTCTCTTGCATTTTGTGGGAGGGCTGCACTGGTTGTAATGTGATGTGTGTCTTGTCCTGGTTTTGTCAAGAGTACAGTTATTTGGTTTTTTTGTGCACTGAATTAAACAACTGTATTTCACTGGCTATAGCATGCCTCTTCCACACCCTCCCCCTAACCATGTCAGCCACAGTGGTTTACCATTTTAATTTGCAGTCAGACCGAAGACTGATATGCATATGTGCTGGTCCAGCATTGAACAGGTCTTTTTCTGCAGCTGGCTCCTTTCACCTGAAGAACCTGTCTTCTTTCCAGCTATGTCAGTCAGTCTAATGAAAGACATTCTCTCTCCTTGCAAAGGATGCTTCTTTAGATTAAGGTGTTTATGACAGTGCTACTGTTTCTTTCAAACAAACTTTGAGGTGGGAAAATCCTCCAGGGTCTGGAGGAAGAACCCTGGGCTACCCAGAGCCCCTGGCATTTGCACTGGGGAAAAGACTTGGAGTAATGAGTTGTTCAAATGTTTCCATAAAGAAGCATTTTGAGACTAGAACTGAAAATTTAGAGGAGGAGGGGAAAAGTTGCAATTAGTGCAAGAGTATTAGTATACTTACCAAGAGGTAAAAATCCTGGCAGCTATAATTAGAGAAGGTTATTCTCCCCTTTTCAATGAGTCATTCCTTAGAGAATGGATTAAATGCATTTTATTTTTTAAAGTCCTTTTCACTTGTTAAAACCTGAATAGAAAAAGGAGAGGCAGTCACAGAAGAATGTATTAACAATGCAGAAAATGCAGACTCATAAAGATTACTGGATTTTAACCTTGAGGCAAGACAGAAATTTGCTTTTATAAGTGGCAGGTATGTTGGTACCAATCTACTTTTCTTCATTATATCTGCTTTGATAAACAGTAAAGGAAAGGTAACCATTAGTGAAGCATGCATAGATTTGTATCATGTGGATTATATTCTCTTGAGGAAAAGTCCTTGGGGATTCAGTCTTTCAGGGTTACATGTAGTACAGGAGGACCTGGTGTCCTCTTCCTGTGCTCCATGTTGACTGTGTATGAGCCACTTCTGTGTCTTGGAAGCAGCTAAATGTATAGCTGCAATAATATGACATGAGCCTGAGCAAATAATACCTCCCTCTTACCAGCACCTCTTACCGGTTTGGAACGTGAGTAAAGGAAAGTTGGGAGATGCACCTGTATTTTCTGATAATGGATATCATTATCCTTAATGATATTTACAGTGTTTCAGGTACCTTTGGAAGCCCCGTACAGGTGTAATGTGTGATTGCGTTTGCCTAAGTAAGAGCTGAGTTTTCTCCTAAAAAAACCCTATTTCACCTAATATTTAAGCATAGTCTTATCCAAGTTGGGAAATTCTGTCTCAAAGAGGTGAGATCATATAGATCAGTTGAAGCTCCTCTGAAAAGCAGTTTGTCTCCAGGTCAGAGCATTGTAGAGTAATGACGATTGGAAGGGATGTCAACCAGTATAGCCCCTGCTCAGATTGCATCCAGTTAGATACGATTGCCCAAGGGCTACATCTGGATGAGGCTTGAGTATCTTCAAGGGTGGAGGATCCACAAGCCTGGGTGATGTGGCCCAGTCTTTGACCAGCCTCACAGTGAAAGAATATTGGTCAGAATTTCTTGTGTTGCAGTTTGTGTCCATTGCTTATCCTCCTGTCACTGTGCACCTCCAGGAAGAGTCTGGCTCTG